ACGCTGTCCCTTCCGAGTCATGAGGAAGCGCTTTGGAGGCAAGGGTGGTGCTGGCCTCTCCAGGTAGGACCTTGTCTCTGACACAGAACAGCACCTGGTCCAGAAAGAAGGCTCAGAAAATGTTGATGGGGATCCCCGTGAGTCTCAGAGGTCACAGGAGGGCTGGAGCAAGCTTTGGGGTGGGCTGGCATGACTTGACTCTCACTCTGCCCTTCCCAGAGACAAAGGGAATACCTATAGCAGGTATGGGGGTATGGGTAGCGGGTGTCCCTTTGTATAATTTCTGCTGCTTCACACTTTAACCTCTCTGCCTCTCTGTCTCTCCCTCTGCCTGTCCCTGTTTATTCTCTCTCAACTCTGCTTGAGTCTCTCCCCCTCCTCCTCTTTCCCTTCACCTCTAAATGCCTCTCCTTGTCTCTGCTTTCATCTACCCTCCTTCTCAATCCCTTCATCTTCATACTCATTGTCTTTTTGTGGTTTTGTTTCCATATCTCTGGATGTTCCCTCACCCGGTCTCTGACACATCATCTTCCATCTACACCTCTCCGGGATGCTCCATTCCTGAATCTCCCTCTCTCACCTTCCTTTCCACCCCAACCTGTCTCGGTTCCCTTGTCTGGGTCTCCCTCCTCACATCTCTTTCTTCTCCATTTTCTATGCTCTGTTCCTGTCGCCTGCCTGCCCCTTTCCCTCCCTCCTCCCCCTCCTCTGTCTCTCCATCTCTCTCCCTCTGTGTTTCTTTACCCCTCTGTCCCTTTCTTTCCCTCTGCCCCATTCTCTCTGTACCCCTGTGTCTGTCTTGGTTTCCCCAACCCCATCACTCTGTTTCTGCCTCTGTCCCCTCCCCATCACCCTGTCCTCCACCCCATCACCCCTCACCCTTTGTGAACACCCTCCTCCCCAGGATGATCCCAGCCTCCAACAAGGCCTTCGTGGTCAACAACCTGGTGTCAGGGACTGGCTACGACTTGTGCGTGCTGGCCATGTGGGATGACACAGCCACGACACTCACGGCCACCAACATCGTGGGCTGCGCCCAGTTCTTCACCAAGGCCGACTACCCGCAGTGCCAGTCCATGCACAGCCAGATCCTGGGCGGTACCATGATCCTGGTCATCGGGGGCATCATCGTGGCCACGCTGCTGGTCTTCATCGTCATCCTCATGGTGCGCTACAAGGTCTGCAACCACGAGGCCCCCAGCAAGATGGCCGCGGCCGTGAGCAATGTGTACTCGCAGACCAACGGCGCCCAGCCGCCGCCTCCAAGCAGCGCGCCCGCCGGGGCCCCTCTGCAGGGCCCACCCAAGGTGGTGGTGCGCAACGAGCTCCTGGACTTCACCGCCAGCCTGGCCCGAGCCAGTGACTCGTCTTCCTCCAGCTCCCTGGGCAGCGGGGAGGCTGCAGGGCTGGGACGGGCCCCCTGGAGGCTCCCACCCTCCGCCCCACGCCCCAAGCCCAGCCTTGACCGCCTGATGGGGGCCTTTGCCTCCCTGGACCTCAAGAGTCAGAGAAAGGAGGAGCTGCTGGACTCCAGGACTCCAGCCGGGAGAGGGGCCGGGACGTCGGCCAGGGGCCACCACTCGGACCGAGAGCCACTGCTGGGGCCCCCCGCGGCCCGGGCCAGGAGCCTGCTCCCCTTGCCCTTGGAGGGCAAGGCCAAACGCAGCCACTCCTTTGACATGGGGGACTTTGCGGCTGCTGCGGCGGGAGGGGTCGTGCCCGGCAGCTATAGTCCCCCTCAGAGGGTCTCGAACATCTGGACGAAGCGCAGCCTCTCTGTCAACGGCATGCTCTTGCCCTTTGAGGAGAGTGACCTGGCGGGGGCCCGGGGAACTTTTGGCAGCTCCGAGTGGGTGATGGAGAGCACGGTCTAGGTGGGGGTGGGCATGCTCCCTTTCCTGCGCGCAGGGTGGGAGAAGAAGTGGAAAGAATCTTACTGGCAAGTGTTTGTGGAGTTTCCATGGTGATGTTTACATCCAGGGACAGTTTCGTCTCCCTGTCAATGACCTCGTGTCCCCCCCTTACCCCCCAACACCCACATCACCTCCCCACCACCCGGCCGGGGTGTGCTCAGGGAATGCGGACTCGCTCAAATGCCGGACTGAGCCCTGAGTGTTTGGAAAGGCGAGACTCCGCCTTTCTAATCACAAATGTAGCCTACAAGCAAGCGGCTTTGGATTGCTTATGGGTCTAGTGTTGTTTTTATTTCTTAATTTATTTTTTTTTCCATTTCCCAGACTTCTCCTCTTCATTCACACGGATAATCGAGAGAGTTAATCGTACATATGAATGTGTGTTCCAGCAGCCCTGGTAGTGGGTAATTGTTACCAATTGACAAGCGGAGGGAATTATGTTTCCACACTTGTTTGGGGGAAGACTGTGGGGTTCTCCGCCCAAAGCTCTCATTACTCCCAGCCACCCCCACACCCAACACTGGAAGGGGTGAGTGGCTGACCCCGGATACCTGACCTCCTTTTCTTTGCTTCTCCAACATGACATGCCACACCCATCACAGAAGCTTAAACCAGAAGGGTAACTTCCTGGGTTCTTATGTGTGGGGAGGGAGGAGAGCTTCATGCTGTAGGGCATAAGGGATCTTAACTTCTGGAATCGATTTGGGCTTGTTGCCACTCTTTCTGGGAAGCTGGTGTGGAAAGTCCCCCTTGAGCATGTGGTAGGACAGGAGGGCTTCTCTTAAGGAAAGCAGTGTGGATGGCAGGAAGAGCAGTGGACTTGGAGTCTGAAGCTCTGTGTCTGGGCTCCATAGTCATGAATAGCAGTGTGGATGGCAGGAAGAGCAGTGGACTTGGAGTCTGAAGCTCTGTGTCTGGGCTCCATAGTCATGAATAGCCAGCTGAATAACTGGGGCAAGAACCTTTTATCTCTTGGGACTTGAATTTCCTGATTTGCAAAAACACTGGGATTGTACTAGGTCTCCAGTCTCTTTCCAGTTCTATGGACCTATTAGTTCTTCATGACCCTAGATGTTATGCTTTTTTGCTCAGTGATTCCAGAAGCACAAGCTGGTTACAGCAGTCCCCATCCTTTTTACTGGACAGAGAGAATTCTAGAAGCCTTGGAGGGGGAAAGTTGAATCTTTTTAGAATGATAGGTTTTTGAAGCTTGGAGAGGTGTTTGCAATCATCCCATCTTTAACTCCCTCTCTGCCTTCCTCAAAGTATAAGGGAATTGCCCAAGGTCACACAGTGAGTTCTTGACCAGGTCAGGGCAGGAGCCAAGGCCACCTGCCTGCTGGCGGTGGTGCTTGGGATCCATGACCCTGTCTTCACCCTGACTAGGGAAGTTCTGTGTCCAAAGGACGTCACACGTTTGTTCCTTAAGAAAGTGGCTCAAGGTGGGATGGAGGAATGCCTTCTCTTGGTTTCCTGAGGAGAACCCACCCTTGGAAGTTACAGGGTGGAATGGGTGGGGTACACAGGGTCCTTTCCATCTAGGAATGAACCCCAACTCTCCAGACAGTGGCAAGAGAAGGGAAAGAGGACATGTGCCCAGGGAGAACCTGCTGTAGACAGATTGGAATGACTTTCCCCCACATCCCTGTCCCATGTCTACTCATCAGCAACTCACTACCTCTCCCGCAGTCTCCCCAACTCATCCTTTCCTCTTCCAACTCCCTCCATAGACCTCTATTTTCTCTCTCCTGTTCTTCATACTTCCACTTGCCAACCACACAGCCCACAAAGCATACAGGCGAGACCATTCTGGGCCAAAAAGTTCCGATGGCCTCAGGCTTGGTGCTGAGCTGCGGGCCCCCAACCCCACTCTGGAACACACAAGGAGGGATTTGCAACTGTCTATGCAGGATTATCTTGGCTCTAACCCCAGAGCCTCCAAATCCCAGGCTTTCCTCCTTTCTCACTCTTCTCCCTCCCCTCTCTTCATTCTTTTTTTTTCTGCCGTTACTCTCTGCCTTTCCAGTCCCTTTCCGGTTCTGACAAGGTCATTAACAGACCAGGCCAGTCCCTCCTGAGACCTCAAGTTATAATAATTTTCCAGGTCAGTCCCAGGCCTGAAGCACATCCCTTCTATGGTCACAGAAGCACCTACAGAATTGGGTAACTTGAAATCTGTTCCACCCTTCCTCTTTTCCCTTCCTATTTTTTCCTCTTCTCTTTTCTCCCTCCTTATCTTTCTCATTTATCCTTTCAAACTATAGCCATTGTGGAAGTGGTCTCAAATACCAGCTTTCTTTTTGCCTTTGGATTCAGACACACAGAGGGAAGGTGGTGGACAGCAGAAGGAACCGACTCACTATTCTCACCAGCGGCTCTGAGCTCTGTCGTGACATGATGTGTGCTTGCTCTTGTGTTTGTCATGTTTCTGACTTGGAGTTTTGGAAAGCCACATCCCTGTGGTCAGAATATAAATGCCAACCTTCTCCTTTGCTAAAAAAAAAATGTACAGTAAAATGTACAGTTTCAAAAACAAACACTAACCACACTTCTTGGGTGGGAGAAAAAAAGAACATTTTTACGTCTGTGAATGTCTGCTGTTCATTTCTCTGGAAACTCTGGGGTTTTCTCAAGATGGCTTTGAAGTGGCATTTTCTCTTGCACCTGTGTTTGTTACTGCCTGGTGGGAGCCTGCTTGTTGCTGAGTTCCATAAGGTGGGGGAATCTTCTGAAATAATAGAGAATGGGACCATCCTCCCAGAGTAAAGATATGTAGAGAAATCTAAAGTCAAATTTCAGGCTAAGAACAGTCCATTCACAGCTGTCCTGACTGTCCCACCTGACATCTCCTTTCTCTGATATATCAGCCCTACCTACTTGTTTCTGGACGGTGGTCACCATCACAGCGCCTGACTAATAGGGGCGCACGGGTATCTTCTACTCATTTTGGTTGAGCCCTGAATGGTATTTTTTCAAAAGGGTCTTTTAGTGGGAAATTATGGGAGAACAAACCAAAACCCAAACCCCAGGTATAGAAAGAAACCTGCTTCTGGAACACAGCTTTCCAACTCTGTCTTTTCCAATAGAATGGAACGTGAGCCACGCAGTAATTTTAAATTTTCTAGTAGCCATGTTGAATCAAGTATAAAACAGGCGGAATGAATTTTAATCTTACCTTTTAACTCAATATATCAAACATATTGTTGTAACATGTAATCACTCAAATTATTAATAAGGCATTTTATAGTCCTTTGGCACAAAGTTTTAGAAATCTGATATGTGTTTCACATGTATGGCACATATCAATTCAGATTAGCCCTCTTTAAAGTACCTGAGAGCCATATGTGTTTAGTACTGGCCACTGTACTGGACAGTGCAACTCCAGACATACAATTGACTTGAAAGCCCAGCTTTTGGAAGAAGAAGGAAACTGACACTTGTTGAGTACCTACAGCTTCCAGATACTGTGCTTGTTGCTTCACATATGTTTCTCACTGAATCATCACCAAAGCCTTTTAGGTAGATAGTATTATGCCCATATTATAAATGAAGGGACTGAAGCTCAGAGGCGTTAAGTAACTGGCCCGAGGTCACACAGTAAGTCTGGCTGCAAAGCCTTAGTTCTTTCCATGACATCACACTGCCTCCCTTATCCTTTATTCCACCTGTCAACATGTTATAGACTGTATTTTAAACTGACTAGATGATTCACATTTGTAGCCTAATTGGGAAACCCTTGATTAGCCTAAGATCTGCCAGAATCCTGAGTGTTAACTCCAGGCAAGAGCACCTTGGTGAAGGGGTTCCTTCTGACCGTACACCAGCCTTTCCTGTCCTCCCTGCCTTGAAACACATTCCCTCCCCTGGCCAGGAAAATTCCCCAGGATTCAGATTGTACTGTCCAGCCCACCCTGCAGTCACCCCCTCTCCCCTCTCGGTGGCTCTAGGAGGCACCTTGTTTAATGAAACTTCCATCTCCAGTCTTGTCTGGGGTCCTCTGCCCCAGAAGCCTATAACTTATTCCCCCTAAGATAAAAAGCCTGACATCAGCTTGCTCCAGAGACAAAACCCATCGTCTCACCTTTTTCTATTCTAATACTCCTGTCCCAGCAGGGAAGATACCTACCCAGATCCTCGTCCCTGATATAGGGAAGCCTCCAGCTCTTCAATCTTTTGCAGAGGTGAGATAGCTGATACAATATTTGCCTAGTTGATTATTAAGCTTTCTTAAAAAACAGTTCAACCCCTTTCCCCACATTCTTGAGAGTGACACATTCCTCAGGTTTCCCTCAAGAGAATTTTTTTTAATGTTTTCAACATTACAGTGGTGAAATTCCAAAAGACCTTAGGAATATTTTTTTGTTAAGGGATATAGTTTTCAGCCAAGTTAGGCAACAGTCACTGTCTCAGGTTTCCCCCTTCCGAAATACAAAGTAACTTTTATTTAAAAGTCTGAGCATTGATTTTTCATAAGTAGATCCTGAGTACTTCCGTGTCTTCTGTTCTCCACGTGTCTGCAGTGAAGGTCTCAGGGCTTCAGCAAGCTGGGTGGGGCTTCCTCTGTTCTCACAACCATTGGGATTTCTGCAAACTGCTGCCAGAAAAATAGAAATACTTATTCAAAAGAAAAGAGTATTGGCAGGCAGCACTCAAAACCTGGATGCACAGTTTTAAAGATCCCACCTAGATTCCCAACCCAGCCTTTCCATGTGATGCAGTTGGCAGCAAGAAGAATTTGTTGTGACAAAAAGGCTTCTCACAGGTAAATACCTGAGGTTTCTACCTTTGCATAATAGAATCAGACCCATCCAGGTTACTCCCCAGTATCTAAAATGAACACTGTCACTTTCACAGTTTAAAAATACCTATTTGTGCTTTCAGCCCTTAAACTAAAGGTTGTAGCTTCCGTCATCTCAGTTAAGGTTCTGTACCTCACAGTCAGTCAATGTTTACAAGCCTCAATGGTTTCCCTTCCCTGAAGCTTCTATCAGAGGAAAATTGGCATGTTTCCCCCATACCAAAGAGATGAGCTAGCCTTTACCCTCTAAGGCTATCCTGACCCCTATCATAGCTACTTAGGATCTTCTGACAGATTCAATGATCTTTCCCCATGTTCTCATTTTGTGTAACATGTGGCATCTTTCTTTTGCTCATCTATTCTGAGGAAGTAGGCCCAGATTACAGGCTCTTCCCTGGTTATTTTCCTGATATTGTTGGAATAATTGATATTCTGGTCCCTTTAGCCAACAGCTGAATGTGCTCCTTGTGATTGGAGCCAGAATTCTCCTCCACCATCTCATGCTGGAGTCTGTCTGGGATTATAGCAAGGAGGATCTCATGATCTAGTCCTTTCCAAGACGTCAACAGTCACACGCTTGGTTCCCTACTGATGAGAGAGTGGAGCTGGAATTTCACCCATCTCCATGGGATCCCCAAACCCATCTGGTCCACAGCCAGTCAGCCCACTGACCAGCCTCCCACAACCCCAGCCCATCCGTCCAGGCTGTCCATCTGGTTAGTTGGTGATGAGCACACCCCCTCTTCTCCTGCACCTCCTCTGTAACATGTGTTCAGTGGTGCTCCCTGGCACACCCCACAGCAGCACTAACATTCATATACTTTGCAAGGATGAGTTTTCTTTCCCTTGAATCTCCTAGGCTACATTCAAGATATCCCCTTTTCCAAACCATGGAGACCTCTGTTAGTTGAACTGACACCATTTCCACTTTGCCATGAAGTAAAACCTCAGGGCCCTATACTTGTCCCCTCTGTCATGAACTTGGCATGTCCTGGCAACTAGCAGGTAACTTGCTCACCATTTGAGGAGTACTACTGCCAAGAAGAAGGGATTTAAGTCCTCAGTTGCAGCTATTAATCCTCAATGCTTTCATCTTAGGTTTCCTATTTTGCTCTTACTACCCATTCCTGTGGGGTTCTCTTGGAAGATATGGTCCTTCCTGTCCACCAAAGATGGGCTGGTTGCCTTACCTACCCAGACTAGTTATGGGAAATTTCTTACACCTTCATTAGAGGAACATTAGGTTGGCATTTTTCAGGTGAATATTGAACTGCAAAATTAAGTTGGTAATCATAGCTGACATTTATTGAGAGTTTCCTATGTTCCATGTATTTCTAAGAACTATATATAGATTATCTCAATTTATCATCAAAACAACACAATGGAATAAGTATTATTAATGTCTCCATTGGGGAATCTCAGATAGATAAGAGTTACGTAACTTGTCCAAGGTAACCACAGCTATTGAGGAGCAAAGATGGGTAAACGCCCTGCTGGTGGATTTGCTCAGAGGTTTCCTGCAGAGCTGCAGAGGAGATAGAAATGCAGAGCTGTCTGGGTTTCCTGTGAAAGGCCTGAATCCTGGCATATGGACCTTGACCGTCACAAGACTGAGCCCAGCAGTAAAAGGGGGAGAGGTAGAGAAATCCATCTGTGCTCATTCAGCATGCTCTTACTGAACTGCTGTGTGCCTGCACTGTGCGTGGTACTGAGAGAAAAGTCAAAGTGAAAGACACTGCACATGCCTTTGAGGGTCTTACACATTACCTCGAAGGACGGAGACATAAGCTGATGTTTTAGATCTCTGATTATACAAAGAATGGTCTGTTTTCACTAATTTCAAGTCTAAGAAAAGATGAACACATGGATTGGCCAAAGGCCATACAATGTAAGATGATACCTGTGCTTGGGAGAATTCACCAGATTTTAAGTAAAATCTTGAGTCACTTTACAGAAGAGGAAATTAAGACCTGGTATGGAGAAGTGACTGGCTTTGTGTCTAACGGGTGCATTGAGGATTGGGATCCTGTGCCTGGGCAAGCAGGGGTTGAAGGAGGCATCTCTAGCTGTCCCAGGAGCTTGAGAGGGGGTGTGGTGGAGGGAGCAAAGCAGGCCTGGAAGAAAGGCAGTTGCAGAGAACTAGAGGGTCCTCCCTAATCCAAGGCAGGTGCAGTTGCTCCTGAGGGAAAGGGGCTGTTTAGTTCAGGGGACCTGGGTTGAGAGTCTGTTTCTTGGCCACTGTTTCCTTATTGGTAAAATGTCAATGGTAAGTATCTACATCAGTAAGTATGCCTGTGTAGTACTAGGTAGTTATACAGATCACATATTGGATTGGAAAAGGCAGCAAAATAACAGTCATTATTATTAATGATATGCATCACTTAAATTAATATAAATTATAGCATATTAGTGATAATATTCAATATGTTAAGCTCAAAGACTCTCAAAGCTGGCAAAAGCTATCAGAGGTCGTCTACTCCAGCCTCCCTCAATGGGTATTAGAATCCCCTGTTCAATATCCATACAAGCTCTTATCAAATCTTATTACAAGCAAAATTATGCATAACGAATTTCAGAATTTACCCAAGGCAGGGAGTGGCTCTCTGTGCTCTAATCAGACCAAGGCCTGAGGCTTATGGCTCCATATTCCTGGTGGGCCCTTGTGAAGCCATCATTCTTGACTTTGTGGGAAATCCAGAGCCCAGACATCAAGCAGCTCCCAAAGACTGCTATGGTCAAAATAGTGTTTTAAAAAACTAGGTACAGAGCCTGGGACCCAGCTGGAAAAATCTCAGGTGGTTCATTATTCCTTTGCCAAATCAGCACTTGTCTCCATGATTTTCAGCAAAGAAAGGAGGCAGGGAAGGGGCAGAGAGCACATGGTAACCTCTGCAGCCCCTGATGCCCTGTATGTTCTGACATACACGACAGTCCCAATAGTAGCTGGAAGCACCTGGAGAATTCTAGACCTCACTGCTGGGCTGAGGATGGCCATCCTGCCCCTCATTGGTTCCCTAATCCTGTCCACCCTTCATCTTTCTTCCAGGATTGGCCCAACAGCCAAAATCTAACACCAGGATGCTGGAATGACACAAATGCTGCCACTAAACACCTCCCACTGTTTCCCTTCTGGGATGGGAAGACTGCCAGGTGCCAGGAAAATCATAGTCTGGCTCTGATGAGAAGGCTGAGTGGGCCAGAGGCTCTCCACTTGAGATGGGAGGCAAGCTCTTCCCAAGGGGTGATGGGATGGTAGCCCATTGACCAGCCCTCTCTGCCTCCCTTTAATACCTGGGCCCCCTCTAGCCCAAAGACCATCCATTTGCTTTAGGTATGGAGATTAAAATTAATTCCCAATTTGATCTTCTGAATCAACACACTAGTCTTAATGAGAGTGAAGAAAAGATGTTAGAGAAATGGTTTCATCCTAAGATCAGAGAGGGCTTGTTGAAGTGTGCATGGCTGGACATTAGCCCTCCTTGGGTAGGGCTAATGCTTCGCAGTTTCTTTGGGGAGAGCTGGAGTGTGCCAGGACATATTGGGGCTGGGGTGACTGACTTACATGAAGAGGTTGGATTCTGTGTTTAAATAGAGAAGACTGTGGGTCACTCCAGAGGTCTGGAAGCAGGCAGGGAGGACCTCAACAGTGATATGGTGCAGAAGCCCAATTCTTCCCTTGGTCTTTGTGCTTTTAAGAGTCTTGGTGAGGTTCCACCTTCTGAGGAATCATGCAAACTGCTTTGGGCTAACTCAGCTTTGACTTGTGAGGGAAGCAGAGGCATAGAATTTTCTTGTGGCTTTTTTCTTGAGGCTCAAGGTCTTCCATTCTTTCTGAGGTTACAGAAAATGAGGGTTTGTGCCAGACGTGAGAAAACCAGAGAAGGGTTCCATCTGTGCTTTCTACCCCAAACTAAAGATGAAGGGGCTCAGACAAGAGCACCTGATTCCAGGAGCGGTCAGTGAGGGTTCCTTCCCTGCCTGCATTGAGCTTTGTCTGCAGAATGGTGGAACAGAAACAAAACTGGAGACATTTATATGTAGAGGTATACAATGTCAGCAGCACAGTCAAAAAGATTCTATACCGTCTCAGCATTCCAAACATTTCTTAAGCATGGATAATCGTATTCTTTATCAAAAGTCTGATTTTTCCATGTTACAAATTCTTCCAAACTGAGGATCAAAGTATTTTTGGGCTTAGTTTTTATAGCGCTTATGGGACAGAAGTAGGTTTCAAACTTTAAATCTTCTGACCCCAGAACTGGAGTTCCCTACATACCACACCCCCGCACTCAGGCATTACAGCGATACCTGGCTGCCGCAGCAGCAAAGAGGGAAAAACATGAGCCTAAGAAGGCAGCCCAGAGCTAGGAAAGATAATGTCCATGCAAGTGGGAGGAGAGTCAAGCCTGGAGACGTAGCCAAGTGGCACAGGACCCTGGAGAGTTGAGAGGGGGCTGAAGAGAGGAGCTCTGCCAGAATTCTCCATGAACATGGAGAACAGCTCTCCAGTGCCAATCTAGCTGGGACAGGGGTGAGAGATTATTGTCCATTGTAACCTGAGCAGGAAAGGGGGAGTAAGAGGGATCTAGGTAAGGATAAGTAGGAAAGAGCGGGGCATGGCAGAGTCTGGTTGAGAGGACACAGCTGTCCAGGTCCAGGCTATTGGCCCACCCCACCCACCGGGGTGGGAGCAGTGTGCTCTACCTGGAGTGACTACCTAGTGAAACCAGGGTGCAAGTAGGGACCAACTAGGAGTCATGGTCATTTTGAAGATTTGTGTTAGTCCTATCTGCTTTGAGTCTCCAGTTACTTCCTGTATGAAGGCAAAGACTCCCATCCCCCACATAAGAATAGAGGCACATTGGGAAATCTCGACCTTTCAAGGCCTGGAGAAGGAAGAAAGGACTTGCTTCTCCATGAATATGGGAGGTCTCAGGGCACAGCCCCGCTCATCTCTTCCAGGATCCATTTGGACAAGATCCACTTGTCTCTTCCAGGGAATGGCTTGGAGACTACATGGGTGGAGAATGGATGAGGGTAATGAGACCTAACCCTTCTAGATTGTTCCAGAGTGTTAATCAGATTGTTAATCAGTCTTATCAAGTATCCCTGGGAAGAAGGCTATTGCACAGAAGGGTGTGGGTCTTTCATAAAGTATCATGGAATCTGGATTGACCCTGAACCAGCTAGAGGAGGGAGAAGTCATGAGCACAGGACTCAGGATTCTTTCCCCTTTGGGTCGTGATGCAGCATGAATGGGAAAGCTCTCAGCAGAATATAAAGGACTGTTCAAACAAGGAAGAGGAAACTCATGTTATTTACCAAATGCTGTGGTAAGCATCCCAGATTTCTCATGTGTGTTATTCCTCATAAGCCGCACCCATCCTTCTGACATAGGGGTTAGATCATTCATTTCACAGCTGAGAAAGCTGAGACACACAGAAGTTAAGCAGCCTGCTCAAAGTCATACAACTAGTTAGGGGAAGCGTTGGGTAATCACTTAATAACTAGAGTTACTCCTAAGTTGCCTAAGGAACACCAAGGGATATTAGAATTTCAGTGAATTTTCTGGAAAGAATCATAACATGTGAGCAATGAGGTTGAAAAAGTGAGCCTAAAGTTAAAAAGTAGAAGCCATGAAAAAATGCATTGGGCAAATAATATTTAGTGACTTCTCGGTGCCTGTCCCAGTACCTTATATGGTAAGAAATAAAAGGTTGCTCTTAAGGTCCTTAAAATTTTTCCTTTCAAACTAAGCACTAAATAATTCCCACATCACTGATGCTTTTTTGTTTCTAAAGTGTGGGGGTTGGATACAGAGGAGGAGTAGGGTGGCAGGCCCTAACTCTAGCTGCACAGAATAGGTGGCTCTCCCCGCAAGGAAGGCAAGGGCACCCCATGTCCATTCCTTCAAGAGTTGAGTCTTTTTCCTTCCTGGTTTCAATATCCTCAAGTGTAAAATGGTTCTGGTATCTACCTCAAAGAGTACCGGGTTTGTAAATTAAATAGCTCTATATAGTTAAACAAATAACCTGTAGGATTTGAAAAGTCACCAACTCACGATGATTAATGTAATAGATCACCGATAAAACTGTTACAAATTACAATACATTAATGACTATTACATGGATATTAGGTCTGGAATCTCAGAGCTGGAAAACACCAGAAATCTCCAAATAAGCCCTCCTCAGCTCATCAATATCCCTGTCAGGTAGTGTTATTCTGATTACAAATTATTCCTTAGTTTTAATTCATAAATCCTCCAAGGAAGAGAAAACATGATAAAGCATTCTCATGCCTTGTGCTTCAAGGAGCTTAGTACTTGATTGTGGCTCCAGGTTTGCACATACTCCACCATTCCTGCTCCTTAAAAGACCCCAGAGTCATAACAGAAAACTGCCAGTATGTGCTGTGATCACCACTAGGGTAGAAAAACAGCCAGCCAGGGTCCTTGCTGAGAAATCTTTAGGAAATCTTAAATGTCCATTGTTCTCTTACCAAATCAAGTCTGGTCTCTATGACACATCGAGTGGAAGGAAAAAGAGGACAAGGCACAGGGACACTGGCCAACTGTGAGGCCCCAGTAAATGAATGTTGCATTCTGCTATGAATTTCACTACCAGTTGTGCAGTCCAGGACAGTTGCTTACCACCTCCCAGGTGCACAGCATAGGCCAATGATGGGGCACACTCTCTTCACACTCTAAGCACAACACCAGGACACCGCCACCCTGCCACTAGTAATTTCTTCCTTAATAAGTCTCCACTTACCTTCATTCAAGAACTGGAAGAGTATAAAAGGTATAAAAATAGCAACCAATAAAATTCTAGGACCTCAATACTAATCACTATTTATTCCCATCCACATCCTCCCATTTGACCTGACATTGAGGTAGATACATTTGTTCCTTTAGTCCTTGCCCTAATACAAGGTAAATGCTCATAGTAAACCGCCAGGTATCTACTAAACCAACTGGTATCAGGTCCCTGCCTAAGATAATGAGGGTATCATTCAAAGGCGGAGGTGGGAGGGCCGAGGACATCCCTTATAAGAGCCCTCTCCATTGTCCATCTCCCTCTAGCACAAACACCAATTGAGCTGGTTTGGGGGAAAGAATCAAAGATCAGGGTCTTCTGAATCAGCACACCAATCAGCTCAAGCAGAAAAGAATGACATAGAGCCTTTATTAAACTGGTCCACTCTGTCCTGAGGTATGTGGGACTAGCCTGGCTGGCTGACCAGGTTTCTTGAGCCCCAGAGGCCTGTTTCACAGAAAGGGAGTTTTGATAAACAAGGCCATGTGCAATAGGGGAAATTATACCCATGTGGGGAGCCAAGTTTCTATGTTGATGGTAATTGGAAAAACTTTTGAGTCAGAGCTGAGCTCTGGGACAAAAGGGGAAAAGAAGAGGGATGAAGGGAAGGGGCCCACTTCCTCTTGACTGATTCTAAAGCTCATAATGGGATTCCAACTCACAGCTAGCCCTCTCTACTAAGGAAGCATAGGAACCTTGACCCCCCCAGGGAACCTAGAACTGGGAAGGTTAGACTTTTTCTTGTTGTGTGAGGGTCATGTCTCCTCCCAGAAGGCAGAGTACTGGATATTTTGATGGGGACAAGGAGGGTCCAAGTGTGGAGACCCAATGTCGAAGTCCTACTGTTAGATACTAGTCCAAATAGCTCCAGCTCAGCAAAGGCAGGTAAGCCTGGACAGGGTTCCACAGGGATGGATCTTCCTAAGGGCTGCCTTCCCAGTTCCTAGAAAATGGTGGTGCACGCAGACTGCCTTCCTCCACTTCCTTGTAGCTTCATTAAGGATAACGATCATTCTATAAAAGAAAAAAAAAAAAATCAGAGGAAACTTGATACATACAAAAACAACACGCAGCACAGAAACAAGACAAAGTTAAAATCACAAAATGTAATTGGCAGCACATCGGTTTTCAAAAGATATCTACATAATTACTCCCATTCTCCTAAGAATTCTGGATTAGGGCATTATCACTGCGTCTCTTTCCAGGTGAGTGGGCATGCCCACCAAGGGTGAGGTGTCCTTCCCATGATCGCACGGCTTAGATGGAAGACCTGGGACTGGACAAGGGGACCTTCTGATCCCAGGTCTGGGTTCCACCATCCCCAACCTTTCACTCGTCACGATAGGGAGGGAGGGGAGAAATGGGAGCAAGGGGGTGGTGAGCCTAGATGGAAAATAACCACAGGGAAACAGAGCCATGCCTGGGAGGGGCGGGTCTGGGCCACACACTCCGGAGATTTCAGACCTGGGTTAGCGCTGGCGAGGGCAGGTCTGCCGGGCATGTCTTTGTCCTTCGGGTCCTGGGCTCTTTCCTGGCATGCAGGACACGCCCCTCCATGGATAGGGGAATGGATTTCTTCTTCCATGAGGGAGAAAATACGGAGGTGAAGGAAGAGCAGAATGGACAAGTACCAGACTGCAGCTGCAGCCAAGCGGGGGAAGAGGCCCACGAGGGTCCTGGGGCGGCTGCCGCAGGCCGGTCCCGCCTCGCCGGTTCAGAAGCTCCACACCTAGGGGAGGATGGGCGGCAGCGGTCCTGAGCAGCCTTCTGCGGAAAACCTCAGAAACCACCCTGCCAGGTAAGTGAAAGTGCACCCTGTTCTGCACATCCTGGGCCTCGGACGTTCTTCCTCATTCATTCAGCAGTTCTAATCTTCATGGGGAGCACCCCTGAATCAGTCTGTCCAGGAGTCATCAGTGTGGAGGTGTCCTGGAGGACCAGGTGGAGGCTGTTAAATAACCGCCAACGGTTCTGGCTCCGGCAGTTAGTCTGTTAGCCACGCCCATCACCCCCACCCTCGCGGCAGGCCTCCTCCAATCAGAGGCTCTGCCACATCCAGGGAGGCGCCCTGGGCCTTCCAGAAAGTCCTACAGCCTCTGATTGGTCCCAGACCGGCCTTCCGGGGCAGGGGTGGGGGCGGGGGACTCCTGGAGTCCACGCAATATAGGGACAGTGGGTGGGGATGGGGGACTTGGAGGAAAGTTATTGATCATGAGCACTGCCTGTTGGGGCTATGGGAGGTGGGGCCTTCCAGAATTTAGGTCAGCCATCCCCTGGCTTCTGAGGGAACAGGCCCGAAGGAGTTCCAGCTGTGCTAGTACTGCCTCCTGCTCTCTATCTACCAGGCCATTGAACCCTGGGTGCCTGTGATCCTGGAGTCTTTTCACTTTACCCCAGTGGAAAGCACCACCCAGAAAGTACTTGTTTTGAGGACTCACAAGAGTTAAGAGTAAGGCTGCAAATCAGAACCCCCAATGCCAACCTCTGACCTTTTTACACCAACCAAAGGCCTGGCACTAGAGAGAAATGCTTGAACAGACTCAGTCAGCTCTTGGGGACCCAGACCCCTAACTGGAGGGTTTGCTAAAACCCCTTACTTTCCTACCCCTGACTTACCTGCAGTGCCTAGAAGACCCAGGCTCTGACTCCAAACCTCAGCATCAAGGGTCCAGCCAATAGGAGACTGCTGCTGAGCAGATGAGAATGCTCTTAGCCAATGAGAAGAATGTCTTAAAGGCCAATTGGGGGATGCTCATATATTCATATTTATGGGGCAAGTGTTTTGAAAGATCTTGTCCTGAAAAGTTCAAATGTGCCTCCCATATCCCTTTTTAAAAAATTGATATAAAATTAATATAGCATAGAATTAACGGTATTAAGTGTACAATTTAGTGGCTTTCAGTGCATTCATAAAATTGTGCAAGCATTATCACTAACCCTATTCCAGAATATTTTTATCACCCCCCCAAACAAGCTCCATACACATTAATATGATTTGGATCTGTGTCCCTGCCCAAATCTCATGTCAAATAATAATCTCCTGTGTTGGAGGTGGGGCCTAGTGGGAGGTGATTGGACCATAGGGGCGGTTTCTCATGGTTTAATACCATCTTCCTTGATGCTGTCATGGCCATAATGAATTCTCCTGAGATCTGGTTGTCTAAAAGTGTGTGGCACCTTTCTCCACCCTTTCCTTCTCCTGCTCTGGCCATGTGAAGTGCTTTCTCCCCCTTTGCCTTCTACCATGACTGTAAGTGTCCTGAGGTGTCTCAGAAGCAGAAGCTTCTATGTATTCTTCCTATATAGCCTGTGGAACCGTGAGCCAATTAAACCTTTTTTTTTTTTTTTCAGTCAACATTTCATCCTGTTGCCCAGGCTGGTGTGAAGCAGAATCTCCTCTTTATAAATTATCCATTCTCAAGTATTTCTTTATAGCAGTGCTAGAACAGACAGACACATTCATTAAGCAGCCACTCCTTGTTCTGCTCTCCCATCAGCCTCTAATTGGCTTTTTGTTTCAATGGAGTTGCCTATTCTGGACATTTCATATAAATGGAATCATACAGTACTTAACCTTTTGTGTTTAGCTTCTTTCACTTTGCATAATGTTTTCAAGGTTCATGCATATCATAGCCTGTGTCAATACTTCATTCTTTTTAAGGCTTACATTCCATTGCATGGATATACCATATATTGTGTATCTAGTTGATGAACATGTGGATTCTTTCTACTTTTTGACTGTTAGGAATGATTCTGCTATGGATATTGTGTACACATGTTTTTGTTTGGACATGTTTCCAGTTCTGTTGGATATGTATCTAGGAGTGGTATTGATAGATCATGTGGTAATCCTATATTTAGGTTTTTGAGGAGCTACCAAAATGCTTCCCACAGTGGCTGAACCATTTTATGTTCCTACCAGCAACATATAAGGGTTCTGATCTCTCCACATACTTGTCAACACTTGTTTTCTTTTTGTTGTGATTGTTAAATTATAGCTATCCTAGTAGGTGTGAAGTGTTATCTCATTATGGTTTTAATTTGCATTTCTCTAATTACTAAAGATTCTGGATATCCTTTTATGTATTTATTGATTATATCTTCTTGGTATGTCTTTTAAGAGAAATATCTGTTCTAGTCCTTCGACAATTTAAAAAATTTTAGTTTGTGTATCTTTTTGTTGTTGAATTTTAAGAGTTCTTTATATATTCACAGTCCTAGACCTGGCTTTGTCTGTTTGTGATGCTGTAACAAAGTGCCATAGACTGGATGGCTTAGAAACAACAGAAATTTATTTCTCACAGTTTTGGAGACTGGGAAGTTAAAGATCAAGGTGCCGGCAGATTCAGTGTCCAGTGAAGGCCTACTTCCTGATTCATATGTGGCCATCCTGCAGTGTTTCCTATATACTTTATTTAAGTATATACTTAGGTTATGTGGTGGAAGGGACAAGGGAGTTCTCTCAGGCATCTTTTATAAGAGTGTTAATCCCATTCATAAGGGCTCTGCCTCATGAATTTGGGGGAAGTATTTAGTTCATAGGAAGTTTCTCCCAGGATATATGATTAGAAAATAATTTCCCTCAGTTTGTTGGTTATTTTTTTTTTTTTTTAAGACAGAGTTTCACTCTTGTCACCCAGGCTGGAGTGCAATGGTGCGATCTCGGCTCACCGCAACCTCTGCCTCCTGGGTTCAGGCAATTCTCCTGCCTCAACCTCCTGAGTAGCTGGGATTACAGGCACGTGCCACCATGCCCAGCTAATGTTTTGTATTTTTAGTAGAGACGGGGTTTCACCATGTTGACCAGGATGGTCTCAATCTCTTGACCTCGTGATCCACCCGCCTCAGCCTCCCAAAGTGCTGGGATTACAGGAGTGAGCCCCCGCGCCCGGCTGTTGGTTGTTTTTTCCACTTTCTTGATGGTGTTTGATGCACAAAAGTTTTCAATTTTGACAAAGTTCAATGTATTACTTTTCCTTTTATTGCTTGTTTTTGGTATCCTATCTAAGGATCTATTGCCAAATCCAAGATTATGAAGATTTGGGTTTTTTTTAATAAGAGTTACAGTTTTAGCACTTATATTTCATCTTTATGATTTTTAACTAATTTTTGTACATGTTGTGAGTAGAGATCCAAACTGATTCTTTTACATGTGCTTATCCAGCTGTCTTCTAGCACAATTTGTTGAAAATAGTATTCTTTCCCTACTGAATGGTCTTCAGACCTTTGGTGAAAATCAATTAACCATAAGTATATGAGTTTATTTCTGGACCCTAAATTTGATTCCATTGAGCTATGTGTCTATGCTTGTGTGTACTCATAAGTCAAGTTGGTAGTTTGTGTCTTCCTAGGAATTTGTCTATTTCATTTAGGTTATCTAAGTTGTTGGTATATAATTGTTCATATTATTTCTTTATAACCCCATTTATTTCTGTAATGTCAATTGTCATTACTGATTTTAGTAATTTGAGTCCTCTTTTTTCTCTTGGTAAGTCTAAAGCTTTTATTTTATTAATTTTGTTTATTTTTTTTTTAAAGAACCAACTTTTGTGCTTGTTCATTTTCTCTGCTGTTTTTCTTTTCTCAACGTCATTAATTTACACTGTACTCTTATTTCCTTTCTTATGTTTGCTTTGAATTTAGTTTGTTCTTTTTTCTAGTTCATTATATAGTTAGGTTATTGCTTTGAGATATTTATTCTTTTTAATGTGGATGTTTGCAATGAAAAAATTTCCATCTAAATACTGCTTTTGTTGTATCTCATGCATTTTGGTATGCTTTGGTTTTGTTTTCATTTATATCAGAGAATTTTCAAGTATCTCTTATGGTTTATTATTTGAGCCATTAGATTGGTTAAGAATTTGATTTCTACATATTTGTGAATTTTCCAAATTTCCTACTACTATTGATTTCTAATTTTATTCCATTGTGATTGAAGAATATACTTTTTATAATTTTATTTTTTATACTTACTAAGACTTCTTTTGTTGCCAAACTTATGATCTATACTGGACAATGTTCCATGTGGATTTGAGAAGAACACATGCTGTTCAATTGAGTGTTTTACAGATGTCTATTAGGTCCAGTTATTTTACGGTATTGTTCAAGTTTTCTATTTTCTTGATCATCTCCTATCTAGTTATTCTAGCCATTGTTAAAAGTGATATCCAGGTATTATTGTTGAATTGTCTATTTCTCCCTTCGACTTAACAGTTGCTATTTCATATATTTGGGGCCTCTGTTGTTAGGTACATATAATGTACAGTTGTTATACTTCTTTCTTGTAATTTTTAGGAGGACATTATGTATTTTTGAATTAAGTCAGTTTCATTCTTCTATGTTTTGAGATACAGTGTTTATAGCCATACATCATCCTCTGATTACTGTTTTAAATATATCTTATAGATAGGATATTTCTGGTGGTTTAATTATCTTTTTTTCAGAATCCTTTAATTCTTGTTTGTACTTTAATTATCACTCAATTGTTTATACATTATTTTAAAGTTCCAATTAGAAGGGCATCTTTTAAAATATTTTTTGATGTAAAAATCTTTTCTTAACAGTTTTAATGAGATATAATTGGCATATAATAAACTTCATATATTCGAGACGTACAATTTGATGAACTCTGACATTTATAAAAAAACAATGAAACCATCATTACAATCAAGATAATGAACATATCAAAAAAAAAATCTCTTTTTGTCCCTTTGTAATCTAGCTGTCAACCTCATTCCTCACAAGCAACAACTCACCTGCTTGGTCACTGTGGGTTAGTTTGACCTCCATAGAATTTAA